TCAGGATTTCATTCCTTCCTTCTGCTGGTTCAATAAAGGCCAGGGAACTTCAGCTTTTTTTAAACCTAATATTTATCTGATCATCTGAAAAAGAAGCTCTCCTTGAAGACCAGTATTATTTTGAGGACCTATGAGGGCCTAGAAATGTCAGCAGTTATATGCACATCCTTTCCAACCTCAAGTACACGGACATATTTTAGGACTAGGTCATCTAGTTCAGGACTTAAAGCTACATCCTCCTGCTCTGCCCTGCCTCCAGTCCTATCTCACACCCTACTCCTCAACAACTTCCCACAGTCCCAAATCTTATACCTTCCTTCTTTATAAACCCCAAACCAAACCCATTGCCATAGAGTCTCTTATAACTCATGATGATTACCTTTGTAGTTTACAAGATTTTGCATCGCTATGCAAGCAGAGAGCCCCAACATTTTTCCAGGGCATGGTTGGTGAGTTTGAACTACTAATCTTGTGGTTACTAGCCCAACCATTAACTCACAGGGCCACTGAAGCTCGTTTTGCCTCTGTTATCTGAAACCAAACTCAATGCCGCTGAGTCAATTCTGACTCATGGTGACATTTCTTAATAAGTATTGCTTGAGTATGTACTATGTCCCATGGATGAATCCAACAGATAATAATTGAATTAAATTATATATTAGTAAGTACTATGGATAGAAAATTAGGGGTGTAAAGCAAGAAGAATAAAGGAGATTGAAGCTTTGGTTCCAATTTTAACTTTAATGGTCAGAATCTACCTGGTTGAAAGTAGACATGTACGTGAATGTAAAAAGAGCTATGGCACTTATCCATATAAATACCTGAGAAATAATCCGCAAAACAGAGGTAACGTCAGACTACCTGGTATTACCAGGTCAAGAGACCTTAAGACAAGAAGAAAGCTAGGATGCTCTTTGAAGATAAATAAAGTGAGAACCTTGGACTTGAATAAGCAAGAAGGAGAATGACAAAGGGCTAAAGTGATAACTCAAATCATAAAGGACCCTGTAGGCCTGTAGGACTGTGACACCTGGTCTCAAATGATAGGAGCCACTGAGAAAAATAATTGACATTATCCATTCTATGTTTAAAACTAGCTCCCTAAATACTTTCTTGATAGGAGGATGCAAAAGCAGGGACTACTAGCAAGAGGCTATTAAAACTTAGATCCAAGGGGCAGCGCTATTTCAGCACATATGCGGAAGAGTTATAACATAGATATTTCAGACTAAGCATCAACAGGATTCCCAACCAACTGAGAACAGAAAAGACAACCTCTATGATTTGGGCATGATAAATCACTGAGGCTCTTCATCCACCATCATTGCAATATAGCAAAAGCAAAAGACAAAGAGAAAGAGAAATGGATATACAAAGGGGAAGCTGGCAGTGTTGAGAAGGCAAGGATGGAGGGAGTTATAGAGGAAGAAAAATGAAAATCAATTAGAAAACTGTAAACTATATAGTTCTAATTGTGGTGTGGGTGATAGAAGTGAAATGAAAGATGTTGAATTGTAGCATTAGTTCTTCCATTCAGTAGGGAAGTCACTGTTTTTTCCTGACCTTCAGTTTTTTGGTCTCTCACAGTGTATAGTATCCATCTCATTAGGCTGTTGCCGAAAGAATAAAATAAATAACACAAAGTGCCGGTTTTACTCCTTTCTCTTACACATTGTCGTTAGGTGCCGTTGAATCAGTTCCAGTTCACAGTGACCCCTGCGGACAAGAGAATGAAACGCTACCTCTCCCTGTGCCACCCTCACATTGCTCATTCCTGTGTTTGAGCCCATTGTTGGGCCACTGCGTCAATTATCTTGTTGATGGCCTTCCTCCTTGTCCTTGCCCGTCCTCTTAACCAGGCATGATGTCCTTCTTCAGGGACTGGTGTCTCCTTATAACATGTCCAATGTCCAGAGTACAGAGGTACATGTCTCCTGAGAGCATGTCCAAAGTACTACAAGGCACTACAAGCCCAAACAAACCAACACGCGGTTGTTTCTAGAACAAAAAAGGAAAAGTGTGTGAGTCAGCTCCTCGTATCAGTAAACCAGTCCAGAAATACTTTACGTTTCTTTTTGTTTCAGCTTTCTTTAAAGCTCTACCTCCTTTCATGTGTATAATCCTTATATTTTCTCTCCCTATGAAAGTTATCCCAAATTCATCTAAAATGAATATATTCCTCCCCTGTAAGCAATGCGATATGAAGCAGTATACTTCTAGTGAGAACTGAACCTCTGTTATGATTTTTCATGTGTGGTAACCAAAGGAATGTGGATATTGCCAATTAGAAGAAAAAATAAGCAAGTGCTGAAATTAGATCACAAATTGACATCCATATTTAGGTAAACTTGAATCTTCATCATGAAAAATAACTAGCTATTTATAGATACCAATATATAATGAACATCTTTCCTCCATGTTAGATATTTTTTTAAGTCTACCCTTGGAATCTAGTTAGTAATCATAAACTAAGTACAAAAAAATTTACTTTTTCTCCAGAAAGACTGCCTATCCTATTAGAAATCACATGTATAGTGAACAGACTACTATATTACAAACACAAAACATGAACCAATGAATCCAATCCTACTGCCCTCATATTGGCTGGGATTCATAGTGACCTGTAGAACAAAGTAGAACTGTCCCCTAGGGTTTCCAAGGTTGATAACCTTCAAGGACACAGACTGCCATGTCTTTCTCCCCAAAAGTTGTGGTCAATCCCAACCACTGACCTTTGGTTTAGCACCTGAACCATTGCATCACCAGAAGCAATTAAATTGTTTTTCAATATGTTATTAAATTGTAAACTGAAATTCATACATAAATGTTCTGACATTTAGAACACAGGTAAGCAGCTATTAAATGACCATATGTATTTATTAATACATATAACACAATTTCATCTACCAGAAAACAATTCAAATGACTATGTAATCAATAAAGTTTGGATATCAGCAAAATAGAGAGATCAAGGGGCATGGGAAGATCAGAGCCTAAAGAGCTTCTTCAGGCAGAGGACAATTGATGCTAGTGCCTTGGCCCTGCAAAGATATCCAAGACATTACCTCTGTACTTACCCTGTTTCCCCAAAAGTAAGACATCCTCCGAAAATAAGACCTACGTACAGTTTTGCCTCTAGCTGAAATATAAGACATCCCCCCCAAAATAAGACCTCCCTGAATATAAGACCTCCCTGAAAATAAGGGTTTGGATTATTATGATGATGTTCAGGAAGATGATGACATGACTGTCATTGAATAAATGAGTAAATGTACCATAGATTACTGTACATGGAAATAATGGTAGTAACAAGAAATTCTTGATACTGTAGGATTCACAATTTGTCTGGTTATGCTGATTTGTGATGACAACTACTACCATACCATATATAGGTAATAAATTTTCTTTTTTTTTTGTTCAACAATAAATGTGTACCATTTTCTTCTTCATGGAAAAATAAGATATCCCCTGAAAATAAGACCTAGCACATCTTTGGAAGCAAAAATTAATATAAGACCCTGTCTTATTTTCAGGGAAACAGGGTAGGAACATACTAATGTGTATCACAATAGTACACAGTTCTCCTCAAGGGGTAGTCCATAGGGAAGATTAATGAAATTAATGGCACGATGATTTTACATTAAAGATAGAAACTCAAAGCTAAACTCACTACCATTGATTCACTCCCAACTTATAGCGACCCTATGGGACAAAGTAGAATCACGCCTGTGGGTTTCCTAGGTTGCAAATCTTAACATGGGTAGAAATCCTCATCTTTTTTCTGTGGAGTGGCTGGTGAGTTCAAACTGCAGAACTTAAAATTTGCAGCAAACCACATGTCCATTACACCATAAATCCACAAAGCCAAACTCGCTGCTGTCAGGTCACTGCTGATTGATAGAGACCCTATAGGATATGATAGAACTGCCCTGTTGAGTTTCTGAGACTAACTGTTAACAGGAATAGAAAGCCTCGTCCTTTCCCCTCTTGTTCTGTAGGCATTGTCAATTCTAAGAAGTTAAAAATCGCAGCACTAAAAATATTTTCATACATTTAAAGTTCTCAAAAGATAGGCAAAGAAAATTGCAAATAAAATAGGGAGAAAAGGCCACTTTATTTCAGACTTGAAGACATGCTCCTAGGACATAAGAGGCCATTGGTTTTTCTGAAGTCTGTATATCCTTGTGCTGAAGAGTTGAGTCATGGTTGTTAAGACCGTAGTATATTATCACAAAATCTTAGCCCATCATTTATCAAAGTAAACTAATACAGATGTATCTTTCCACTATCAAAGCATCCAAATGATAAGTAAAATAATTCACTCTTTAATGTCAGAATGAAAAAATATATAAACTTTCAAGATAACCAACTGCCAATGACCTCAGAAATTTGAGGAAAAAAAATATAGTGAACGGATGAATCGAGAAAAGCTTCGTTAACATCACACTCTTTTTATATATTTGGCATTTCATTTGTGAGAGGAGGTAAAAAGAATAACACATCATCCCTAACACCAAGGTACTCGCAGTCTGATGGGGGACCTGGCAATCTAATGGAGGAATTTACGAGTTAAAGATATATTATGGCCTACAAAGTCTCCTCGACCACTGTTAATTGAAAAAAGGCAACTTATATAACTGAATTAATTTTATATCCAGTATTTTATTCTTTATTTGTGGAGTTCTCCTTTCCTCCATAGCCTCCCTTTTCATTTAAGCAAATTAAAAATATCTTAGTTTATCACATTGATCTCTTCCAATATTCTCAGACTTCCTTAATGTGTACTTTCTTAACTTCTTGTGCTATTATAGTCGAGACGTTAAAAAAGAAAAGTGGTACCTCTCACATTACCATGGAACAGATTAAAGTTTCTCTTGTGATTGTGGCCAAATTATGTTATACATTTTGTCATTATAGAAGGGAAAACATTTAGGGAAAAATTCCATTATTCTTTTTTTTTTTTTAAGGGTCACTGATGTTTATTTTGCAAACAAAACCACTGCCTGTTGACACCTTGGGATGCCACTGGGACACTTGGTGGGAAGCTTGAGAGAAGGGCGAGGCGTTGGGCTGTCACAGGATCACAAAGCTGGGGTTTCCAACAGGCGTCCAGATGGTCTGGCTTGGCTGCGGGGGCAGCTCTAATGAAGCGGCGAGAACACCGACAGGCTCGGGGGAGGGACTACCAGAGGTCTGCCTGCCCAGCTTATTTGGCGAGGGGATTTCTGAACTTCTGGCCAGCACACTTGGCCTTGCTGCCCAGCTCCTCTTCAATTCTGAGGATCTGGTTGTACTTGGCCAGGCGTTCAGATCGGCACGGCGCACCAGTCTTGATCTGTCCAGTGCAGAGTCCCACCACCAGGTCAGCAATGAAAGCATCCTCGGTCTCCCCAGAACGATGAGACACTATGACGCCCCACCCATTGGACTGGGCCAGCTTGCACGCCTGCAGAGATTCGGTCACGGAACCGATCTGGCTCACTTTGAGCAGGAGGCAGTTGCACGACTTCTCGCCCACGGCCTTGGCGATTCGCTTCGGGTTGGTCACTGTGAGATCATCCCCTACCACCTGGATCCCTGAACTGGCAGTGAACTTGGCCCAAGCGTCCCAGTCATCCTGGTCGAAGGGGTCTTCGATAAACACCACTGGGTAGTTCGCGATGAAGGACTTGTACAGGTCTGCCAGTTGGTCAGGTGAGATGTACCTGCTGGGGTCATCAGGAGACTTGAAGTCTAGGTCGTATTTCCCAGACTTGAAGAACTCGGAGGCAGCTACGTCCATGCCAATCACCACCTTGTCGGTGTAACCAGCTTTCCCAATAGCATTCTTCAGCAGCTCCAGGGCTTCTTTGTTCGCCAAGATGTTGGGGGAAAATCCGCCTTCATCCCCGACATTGGTGGCATCCTTGCCGTACTTCTCCTTGATGACGTTCTTCAGGTTGTGGTATACCTCGGCCCCGATGCGCATGGCCTCCTTGAAGTTGGCTGCCCCGACGGGGAGGATCATGAACTCCTGCATGGCCAGCTTGTTGCCGGCATGGGAGCCGCCGTTGATCACATTGAAAGCAGCAACTGGCAGGATAACTTCGGAATTGCCAGCTAAGTCAGCAATGTGACGGTATAGGGGGACTCCCTACTCAACAGCTCCGGCCTTGCACACAGCGAGGGACACGCCCAGAATGGCATTTGCACCAAATTTTGATTTATTCTCAGTTCCATCCATCTCAATCATCAGCTTGTCGATCTTTTCCTGTTCCGTCACGTCCACCTTCTTGCTAACCAGGGCAGGCGCAATCGTTTTATTGATGTGCTCAACAGCCTTTGAGACACCTTTGCCCAGATACCGGGTCTTATCATTGTCCCGGAGCTCCAGGGCCTCATAGATCCCAGTGGAGGCACCACTGGGCACAGCAGCTCTGAAGAGCCCTTTGGCGGTGTAAAGATCGACCTCAACGGTGGGATTTCCACGGGAGTCGAAGATCTCTCTGGCGTGAATCTTGAGGATAGACATGATGGATGTCTGGCCGCTGGTTCTCGTCGCCCAGGAAGGAAGTGGAGGAGGCTGCAGACACCGAGACGGGTGTTGGGTCAGCGGCCCATTATTCTTTAATTCCTTTCTTCCATGAACTTTTTGAAGGCTCCTTGGTTTCAGCAAGTGCTGTCTTCCAACAACCAAACTCAATACCTTTAAGTCGATTCTGACTCATAGTGACCTTGTAAGAGAGGGTAGAATTTTCCTTGTGGGTTTCTGCAACTCTTCACAGGAGTAGAAAGCCTAGTGTTTGTCCCACAGAGTGGCCAATGATTTTGAACTGCTGACCTTGTGGTCAGTAGGTGTGGTAGTTACATAATCTGGCATCAATTTGAGACTGAAGGGGTGGAATTAGGCCTGTCAATCAGGCTGCAGCTTGATGACCTCATCTGGAGGCACAACAGTGATAAATAGCTCATTGAAGGGCAGACAAGGGCAGACATACTTTCTATGTGAGACATTCCTGTCGACAAGACACATGGAGCTATGCTGATAGAGCTGAGCCCTGGACCTGGAGGAGCCGTGTGGAGACCCAACACCAGACTGAGATGCTTCCACCACCACCGGATCCACAAGACTTTCCACCTACTAGGCTGTGATCTTCTTGCTTCGGCATCATTGCATGGCTTTGTGAGTCTGAAGAGGAATTTATGGACTAGTGTCGACATATGGGCTAATATCGGGCTTATGGACTTGATCTGGACTGGGCTGGGATGTTTTCTTAATGTACAATTGCTCTTTGATATAAAGGTCTCTCTTACACATATATGCATATCTCTAGATTTGTTATTTTATTCAACAAGGACTAACAGAGTAGGCCAATATGTCACCCACCAGGACTCCTCAGCTGTAGTCTTAGTTTACCAATATATTTTAAGCTCCTTATTATAAACAAATAAATAAGCCTATCAAATGCTTATATGCACCATGGGGCTTAGTCGATCTTCAGGATATTGTAGATGCACAGTAAATACTTCTGGCTTTCTATGTGCATTGATATACTTAGAATTATCCTTGGAAATGATTATCATTATTCTTCAGCCCATACTTTAAGTGTTGCTTGTTCAAAGACCATACTTTGATCTCTGGTAGTTTCATTAGAAATATGATACCTTTGAGATAAACACATTGATTTCAAAGCAAAATTTTCAACTTGCAATTTTTTGCCCTAAAAATAGCACTTTCTGACATCCAGTTTAGTCATGTGAACACAAAGCACAGACCAGGTGTACTGGGCATTGCAGAGCATTAGAAACAAAATGAGCTTGAAAATCAATAAATTTAGATTCTACCTTCATTTTCTTGAACCTCAGTTTCCCCTTACATAAAAGGAGTGGCAAGCTCAGACCAAATGAGAATGAACAGGAATATTTTCTTCATGGGCTAGGTTTTCTGGGGAAGAGAGACTTCATATGCTTCTCAAAACATATTAATGAACTAGTAGTTCTTATTTTAAGAACACTCATCTTATTTTAGATATATGAAGATAGACAAGATAGCATTAGTGTTTTGTTTTGTTTTCAATAGCGGTTAACAAACAAAGCTTCCAAAATTCCATCAGGCATTCCAGTTTTTTGTATTAGAACAATAATAATCACGACCAATTCTGAAAAGTATTCTTTCTACATTATTTCTTTTTGACTGTATCATTTTCCTATATAACACTAACTCAAATGAATAATAGGAAGTAAATGTTAATGCTAGACTACTGGTATCAAAGTGTTGCTGCATATTGTATTCCTGAGAATCTTTTAAAATATGCCTAGCTAGCACCTGCCAGAGATTCTCTTTTAATATCTAGCAGTGAAACTTGATATTCGGGTTCCTTTAAAATTGCACAAGTGTTTCTAATGTGCAACCAGATTTGAGAATCACTATTCAAAGTAGTTGTGCAACAGTACTTCAATATTCCTTCTGGACCTCATGTTAGGTGAAGAGCTTTACTTTTCTTATGTTAATGTTAGGCTCCTCCTAACCAAGCTAACTTGATGAACCCTTCCGTGGAAATATTAACCCATCTGCTTTATAAATTACATTTCTTAGCGTGATGTATTAATGCCATAACATTTGACTATAATTATCTATGCCTACCAAACACACACACACACACACACACACTCACACACACACACACACACACACTCACACACACACACACACACACACACTCACACACACACACACCTACAGAGCATATTGCAACTCATCGCAATCCTATCTAGGGTTTCCAAGGCTCTAACTCTACCTGAGCACAAGTCTTATCTTCCTCCTGTGGAGCAGTTGATGGGTTTGAACTGTCAACATTGTGGTTAGGAGCCCACAGTTTGTAGGATAGCCCCACCAGGGCTCCTTAATTATCCTTACAGTGGCCACTAACTCAGGTGAACATGTTATTTCCGCAATTAAACTAGTACTTTCAATATTTTATAAGACTCAACAGAAAATTTGCTCTCATATTTTCACCTTTACCCAAAATTGTTTTGTTCAGTGAAGGGTTCTTTTTCATGCACAATGTCAGAGACATCTGTTTTATCACACTGTGCGCTATAGGGCATCAAAAGCAACTCTGCATTGCATCCCATTTCCTCAGGGCATTAAACCTATGCTAATAAATTAATCTGTTGTAATCCATTGGCTGAGTAAATTTTACCCCCATGCTTTCACTCAAGCTGAGAATTTCCTTGGAAGAACCTTTCCTTTCCCATCGCCTGCTTGGCGGGCTGTTGAGCATAGACAGGTTCGTGTTCAGAGCTCAAATCAAACATTAAGTTCATAAGGTCTCTTCTGAACCCATGTTTCCCAAACACGATGGATCTATTCCTACCTTTGAGTACTTACTGGGAAAAGGATTCTTCTAGGGTAGATCTTAAAACTTTCTTAATTTATTAGCTTATGTTCTATCGTCTATCTCTTTAAGAGGCTATAAGTCACTCGAAGGTCAGACATATATTTTATCTCTCTTTATGTCCCAAATCCTCTTCATTGTAGGTTATTTGTTTACATTTATCTGGTAAATTAAATTGATTTATCATCTTGCAAGCTTGTCTTAAAACGAGCAGCCAACAAGGAAGGAGCACAGCAACCCATATGATCCAAGGATCATAAATAATAAAATCCAAGCCCAAAGGAGGGAATTATTAGAGCTTAAATTCTGATCACTTGGTTTGCAGAAGGCTATGGATGGCACTGAAATCCCAAAATCCATTTGCAAAGCCCTGAATCTGATTAAGCCTCCATTGAATTTCCTCAAACTGTTGACTAAGGATGTAAATAGTCTTGCCTTCAGACAGTATATTGTAGGTTACAGCAAATATAGTTAGTTAAAGTTAACATAGTATTTGTTTCCCCCTTTGACTCATTTTTAATTTCTTCTGGTTTCTATTATCTTGTGATATCTTTTGAATTGTAGTTTTTCTGTTTTGTTTTGTTTGGTTTGGTTTGGTTGTCATTGTTGAGGTTTTCTGGTATGATTTTCTTAACATGAAATCAGTAACTAGATTCCTTAGGGTTGAAGCAGAGGAAATCGGGGGAAAAATGGGAAGCTGATAATAATAGGTTCAAGAATGAAAAACATGTTCTAAAATTAATGGTGGTGATCGCTGCACAACTCTTTTTGATATATTTAAACCATTGAATGGTGTTGCCATTACCCTAGATTAGAATGTTACAAAGGTAAGACCTCAATATGAGAAGAGACCACTCTCTTAGAAAGAGGGTGTACTCTCACTCTCCCCCTCTACATCTCCCCTGCCACGTGCCTCACTACAAATAACTGTTACAGCTAGTTTCAATTGAAAATCGATATGTGACACAATTTATCATGTTGCTATCAATTGTCAACTAGCTTAGTTTCAATTGTCAACTAGCTTGGCTGACAACTGTTAATCAGTTGACCCTTGAAGAAATTTTGATTATCCTTAATAGGATTCTTATAACCAGGTTTCTGCTCAAGATTTGTATCACAAAAATATAGGGTCTGTGTGGAGTTTCACTTCCATCTACGATGCAGCAAAAGACACATTTCTCCCATATTAAGAATGAGGAAAAGTACTATTGGCAAATAATGACATTTCTTGAACATATTACAGGACAGCTAAGGTTGCAAGCAAACTAAGTAGAATGACTTCCAAAAGTTGTAAGTCCCTCTAAGGAAAGATGGAACACACGCGGAAAGCTATTTCACCCTTGGCAAAACAAAACACAAAGTGATGGATATAAAAGTGGATTAGAAGTAACCAGCTAAATTTTAAAATAATTAAAGTAAATTATTGTGCAGAATTATTTTGCATAATATAGGCCATTTTTGATCAGTAGCAAAATCTTAACAAATTGAAAAATATGCAGAGAAAATTTGTAAAAAGTCATGTAAAGATTATTCTATGAAAATAATGAAGTGAAAATGAAAATAAGAAAAAAAAATAGAAAAAGATACTGAAATTTTCCAAGTTTTGAAATTAAATAATACATTCCTTTTAAGTAATAACGTATTTTATCCATTGATTATTTATGTTTTCTCATCTAGTTCCTTTCCAACCGTATGGCTAATCCACCCGACTATTTATTTCTCTAATTATTTATGGATTTTTATATATTTTAATATACACAACAAGACACACGCCTGCACGATGATTTCTACATGCACAGATCAGTGCTATTGCTTCCATTCTTGACATTGTGTCCCCATTCGCAGTATCTCTAGCTGCATTGTGTCACTACCTTTCGTTTTTGCTCTATATTCCCCTGAAGGTCCTCAGCTGTGCTTCACAGTTACTGTTAGCCAGAAACGGGACTTGGTGGGGCAAGGAAGTGGAAAATACCCTGGCAAGTGAAAAGCACTCCAAGGACGAAGCAAAAAAACAAGCCCCACTTGTGCCCTTCAGTGGCCTTCTGAACCCAGATACAGAAGGCTGACCTTTGCTTAGTCCCGGATTTGCAGACAGCCAAATTGCAGTGGAAAATTCCCCAGCTACGCCCTCCCC